TATATATATATATAATACATTTTGTGTACTTTTTCACTTGCATTGTAAAATAGTCAAAATAAACATGACGGCTGAAAGACCCAAGTCTGGCCAAAGGAGGATTTCCCATGTGTAGGGTCGAACATGCAGGTGACTGGAGAGTTCCTAAAGCTTTGCTAGAGCAGGCTGTCATAAAATATGTCCAAATGTTACATTAGAGTATCATACTGAGAATACTTCGATTTGAGACAGATTTTAGACACATGAAGCTATTAGTGTGGGATATAAACATGCAAAAATACCCTGTCCCTCCTTAGAACTTAAAGCTCAGGTACATTTATTCAAGTGATGCGATTTTTGTCTGTCCAGATCAAGGCAGATGGAACTTATACAGTTGAGAACTAGATGCTGCTTTTTCAGCTGATGCCCTTTCTCAGTTGAAGGCAGAGACCACATTTCTCTCGTCCCTGCGTGAACTATGCCGTAGGTATCTACTCTGTTCTTAAGTAGTCTTGGGTAAGAAAGAAAAGTGGCTTGGGCCCGGTGATCCCGATCCATCTCTTGACAGTCCTTTAATTTTGTCTTCTCCCCGTGCTCTCCTTGTCTCAGGTTCTGTATGGTAGTTCAGAATCTGGTAGTGAAGTGGCAACATGCAAAATTAAAGACCTGGATTTTTAATCCTTTCTAGTCTTCCTTTCCCTTTTACTAGTTTTCTTTAAGGAGAACAGCTGTTAAATAGGCTATGTAGAATACTAATTTATGTATTGAAGTGTTTAATAAGTTTAGTTGCATGCATTTTCTGTTGACTAAACTGAAGCCTGACAAGGAGTATTGAAAGAGTTAAAGTTTAGAAAAATTTCAGTATAAAGCAGGCATAGCCAATGATTATTGTGACATTTTAAATTGCTACTTAGTGGCATATTTTTTCTTGGGCTTAATGAGTTAATGGATTTAGGGAAGCAATATACTTGTGAACATTCCCTAAAGCTAAAGTTCTTATAATTGCACTGATAAAGCGTACAGAAAAAAAAATACTTGGTTTTCAACCATTCTGTTTTAATACTAGCACTGACGGAGCCCTTGGAGTCAGTATCAGTGCCCCAGGAGGTGCTATTGCTTCGGTTCCAAACTGGACTCTACGAGGAACACAACTCATGAATGGCACATCCATGTCTTCTCCCAATGCATGTGGAGGCATTGCATTAGTACTGTCAGGTAATGTGCTACAATGTTAAATACAGATGCAGAGTCTAAAAGAGATTAGATGCTTTTTCCTCTTAAAAAAAAAAGTATATGCTTTAACTTTCAATTTTTTTGTTGCTCCAATAATACCCTTATTTTTAATTGCAGGACTCAAAGCTAATGATATTCATTACACTGTTCATTCTGTCAGAAGAGCTTTAGAAAATACTGCAGTGAAAGCTGAAAACATAGAAGTATTTGCACAAGGACATGGTATTATTCAGGTAAGTGCTAGCAAAATCCCCATCATAGTATAAGTAACTGCCAGTGGAGAACCCACAAGAAAAGAGGAACTTTCTAGGTGAAATCACTCAGTTTGCTCCCATACTACTTGATTCTCGGATCTGAGGGAGAAGGGAATGTAGTGGGAGGGAAGGAGGAATGAGATGGTTCTTTTAGTTTCTGCATGCAGTTACTGTGGAATAAATGTGCTCATTACACACATTCTTATGCTCATCAAAAAGCTATGTGGAGATAAAAATGGGATGTGGGTTTTTGTCACCCACGTGTGGAATTGTATGCTTAAATTCTGTCCTAATGTCCAAAAATGTTTTTATGCTATTGTCAGAGAGAGCTGAACTTGTTCTGTGCAGACAAAAACAGGAACTGTAAGTTCTGGGCACCAAAAATTCAGATACTCACACTTGTTCACAAAACAGTACAGCTGCAGTTATGAGATGACTTTGCTGTGAGCCTGTACTGAAAAGCCCGAGTGTTCGTTGTATCCTGTGGACTTCTAGGTAGCTTGGAAATCTGTGATGTGATCACCTGTATCATGAAGGCAGAGTGAATGACAGTCTCCCTGTGCATAAGCTTAGGTTCTTAAAGAGCTGCTGCTTTTTGCCTACAGTCACTCCCATCCTAGCCAAATAGAGGTACTGAGTTACTGCTCTCCTGATTAAAGATGCTAGATATTAAATGCTTAGTTCTAAACTCTTGTTCTGGAGATGCTAGAACTTGGTAGGCAGTGTTCACTAAACACACATATAACAGAGTTTGATGCAGAAGGCAACAGTGGTGGTAGCCTTGTCCAGAAAAAAAAAACCATATTGCTACAGAAAACTGCAATTCACCAGTCATATCCTATGGTTTAGTAGTCTGTGATTAAAGAATGTGTTAAACTATGTGGTTAAAACTCTGATCTGGTAGACTGAGCCTGTGGTATGTCCACTCATTTCAAAGGAGAGTGCCCTAATCTCCACTGGCAAAGGTAGCTCACTCTGAGGGAGAAAAGAATGTAAAATTTTGGTAGACAAAAGAATAGAAAGTGAGGCAGAAGGGTGTCTTTTTAAAACAGAAAGATGAACTTGTCATCTAAATTTACTGTGACAGCTCTTTTACTTAAATCCAGGGCTGTATTTCCTGACCTGATTCTCTTATTTTTGTATTGATACCTAAAATTTACATGGTCATCCCATATTTTACTGTGAGGGTGATGGAGCACTGGCACAGGCTGCCCAGAGAGGTTGTGGAGTCTCCTTCTCTGGAGTCTTCCAAAACCCACCCGGATGCGTTCTTGTATGGCTGCCCTAGGGGATCCTGCTCTGGCAGGGGGGTTGGACTAGATGATCTTTTGAGGTCCCTTCCAACCCCTATGATTCTATGATTCTATTGCTTGTCTCTTGAACTTTTCAACTTTTGGTATTATGTAAAAGGTTTAAATCCTTAACTAGTGTTGGTTCACTTCAGTGAAAAGTACCTAAATTATTGTAGGAGGTCTGCGCTTTGAAGTCCTCTTTGTCTTTGAAATCATCTCTGAAAACTGTTATACATTTTTGATGGATTTGTATCAAAGGAGATTTGTCTTTTTAAATGTTCTTGACTTTCTGTGCTGTGTGTGACTATTGTAGACTGAAAATGTTGCCTCATTTTCTGTACCGAGTGTCTTGAAAGGTGAAATCAGTGTGACTCAGCACAGGAGTTCCTTCACTGGGTTCACTGCTTGCTTGCTGAACACTTCATACTGACAACAGGATACATAAATTACTGTTATATTGAAATTTGTTAATTTAAAGTGAGTTCTTTCTTACAGGTTGATAAAGCCTATGACTACCTCATTCAGAATTCATCATTTACAAGTAACATCGGCTTTACAGTTACTGTCGGCAGCAACCGTGGAATCTACCTCAGAGATCCTGCCCAGATAGCTGCACCTTCTGATCATGGGGTTGGCATAGAACCCGTCTTTCCTGAGAATACAGGTAGGAAGGAGCTTTTGTAGAGAGGGCAGGGGAATAAAGGGCAGTCTTAAAACAAAAAAAGCTGTGGTAATGAGGAGTGATTGGAATTTGTATTGTAAAAAGATTGTCACTGTACATATACTGGTAGATGAAAGCACGCAGCTAAACTGCTTTTTCATTCTAACCTCAGGCTTATAACTGCAACACTTCCGTGTTTTGTGGGTGTCGATTGCATCTCTCTTTGTTCTGAAGAAATTTAAAGTTGTGGGGCTAGGGAAAAATACAGAAAAATAATAAAATATCCCTAATGTTCCGTGAAATTGTAGAACTTCAGAAGTTTTGTTGTAGATAACTTGTCAAAGAATGATTGCTGTTCTAGAGGTGGAAGAACTACCTAGAAATTGTTTTCTCTGTTATTTAAAGACTATGAATTCTAAATTTGGACTTTAAGTAAGTTTCCACAATCTGTGAAAAAAATTTGAGTTAACAAGAAAGATTTACATTTAATATCTAATAGTGGATGAGCATAAATATATCTAAAGGTAATGCGGGAATCGATACAGATTTTTGTTGCTTACTTACACGGTGAAACGAAAGTAACTTGTCAAACCTTATTTTGATTCATACATCTTTTCTCCGTAAAATATTTTGCTTCATTAAATAAAAATTGGAACTCACTGAGAGACTGAATTACGTTGTATGTGAAAAATGAACCATGTGGGAGCTTGTTACTGGGATTAGTTCCTTTCCTGAAACCAGTGATCCCCAAGAAGGCTGGCATGTGACAAAGGGCTGAGTTTATTTGATGGAGATAGGGAGGGGAAGGGTGTATCAGGAAAGGTTACTGGCTCAGAGTAACTTAGTTGTTTGACTGGTTGCCTTGCAATCGGTGCTCTTTAAATTTACTATATTACATGAAGAAATAAAATAGTTGTACGATAGACTCCTCTGCATGAAACAATCTGAAAACAGACGTTTCTAAGGAGTATCTGGCTTGTAACGTGATGCTGTTTCTGTAGTACTTGTCCAGTTGTTATTTCTGTGCTGTGTTTGCTGTCTTCAAGACTGAGTTTGAGGAACTGTAGTAAGGGACACTGATCTGTTCAGTCTGTCTGTCGAAGTTCTCTTTGAGCTTTTATTGCTTCTCATGTACCTGTGAGCAAATTACATCTGACAGAGTGCTCTTTTCTCTGTTTAACAAACATGTAATGAAATGTCGGAAAATTAAGCTGAGGTTAATTAGAACTAGAATATGTGCAAAATTGTTTTTAAGAGCATCATTAAACTTCAGAGCTGGAGAAAGCTGGGGTTTAATTACTAAAACATTTCAACTAGGAATGGATACTCTTAACCCATAGCTTTTTTTTTTTTTGACATGGAAGCTACTTTGTGAAGCGGCCTAAATGGACTGTTTGCAAAGTTGCATTATTTTAATAGACTTTAGAGCTCTTGCTTAGGTTGTCTGTAATGTCGTTTGGTAATTACTGTAACCTTCAGAATCAGTGCAATTTCTTGTCATTGTATTTCTCTGCATTAGGCAAGACTTTTGTATCTATACTAGAATACCTGCTTCCAGACTATATTGTGGGTAACTGAAGCATTACTCACTAGCCTACCTTTCTCAGGTTTGACAGTGGGGAAAATTTCGAAGTTGGGTACAGCTTTTTTTTTTTTTTTTTTTTTTTAAATGGTACACTGCTGCTATTTTTCTTCTCTGAAAAGTACTGTAGAACACTGTCCTTTGTGGAGAGTCTGACATCTGGGGGACCTAAGGTGTTGATTTCCATTCCTTTTAATTGATGTGTACATTTTAATGGTAAATAATATGTTATAGTAGAATATGAACATATATTGTTGGTATTGAACTGGTTTTTAAATTCGTTTCTTGACAGAAAACACTGAAAGAATATCTCTCCAGCTTCATTTAGCTTTAACTTCAAATGCACCGTGGGTCCAGTGTCCCAGTCATTTAGAGCTTATGAACCAGTGTCGACACATAAATATTCGTGTGGATCCACGTGGCCTGAGAGAAGGACTACATTACACAGAGGTATTGAAATACTGTTTTTTCTGAGTGAGATTTTATGCTCTTTCCTCTTTGTGGTCTAATTTTTAAGGAAATAAAAGCCAAGTGTGTGCTGTACAGAATAGAAAATACTGCCACACTCTCTTTCAGGATAGAGGTTGAATCCAGGATTCAGCAGTAGTTATGTTCTGCAGTGTTGTGTAGTGTACGCTAATGAGACTTCGAGTAGTTGTGTTTAAAAAGAATGTAGAAAATATAAATGAAATAAATAAACATTCATTAAGGTGGTGATTTTTTTCTCTGGATATATTTTCAGCTTTGATTACTTGGCTCAGTTCTGTCTTATTATTGAGGATGGAGATTTGTGGTTTTGTGAGGTCTCAAATGTTTCTCTCTCTCTGTGGTGGTGTATGGGCTGCCCTACATTTTGTGGTGTTGCCATGCAGTCTTAAATGAATCCAAGGTTTTGCTTTACCTTGAGGAGTTGCTTGGGTGCAGTGATGCAACCTGTTTTGTTTCCTCACCTCTATCCCATCCCATTTTGGAAAGTGAAAAATGTGTGGTAGTGGCTCTGACCAGCAGAAGCGTTTTGCTGACTTGAGTAGCTGTGTTCAAATTTGGACAAATTTAATACAAAAGTCATTAAATTTCTCACGTTCTTTCCCACCTGTCGTCTTTTGCTCCTGCAAAAGAAACTCACCCACAAAAAGTATTTTTCGTCCCTCTCCATCCTCATCCCAACACATTGAAGTGTTTCCATTGCCTTGTAGTTGATGATAATGAAGATGTGTAAGCTTGCTTTTTAGAAGCATCTTGCTTAAGATGCGTAGAGTTGCAAGTCTTCTATGGTACCACTGAGAACAGATTTTCAGAGGTAGTATTTAAAGCTCAGCCATGGAAAGCATGGTAAATCAAACTGTGTTTTCCCAACTAAAATCCTGGAAAACAAGTATTGCAATATATTTAATACAACAACAAAGAATAGCTGAAATAAAATAAGATTGTTTGGGGCAAATTCTGACTCAAAACTAGATTGAACTTTAGATATAGGGACTGAAATTTGGGTTGAAAGCTTGAGAAATGGACAAAACTGAAATAAGTGTAAAAACAATTTGTCTTTTTCCTTGGTAATTGTTGCTGTTACTGTTTCTACGGTGACAGTAGTCAAATGAAGATTTTTTTTTTTTCTTAGCAATAGCTACAAAGACTCAAAATACTCTGCAACTAGTTTAGCATTGTCTTCTACAACTTCATTTTGACCAAAGATTTTAAGTGGCTGTATTTTATTTTGTTAGGTGTGTGGATATGATATAGCAATGCCTAATGCAGGCCCTCTGTTCAGAGTTCCGATAACTGTTATTATACCAACCAAGTAAGTAAACTCAGGTTTTATGTGTGTTTAAGTTTAGTTTCCTGTACTTGACATTTATGACTTTCTGTCTTTGGGAATGCTTGAACTTATACTAACACTGATAAGGGAGCAGAGATCTGAGAAGATTCTCATATCAGACTTACACAGCTGTGGCTTCTTTTTTTTACTTCTGATGCTCACAGCCAGAAGGCAGTGTCTTCTGGTGGGCTTAGCCACAGTGGCAGCAGCTTCCTGGCCGTCACAATACAAATGACTTATGGCTTGTTGACCGAAGTATCAGTCACAGTGTACGCATAGGTGTAGGTTAATTAGAGGTTGTTTTCTCATGATGGGCTGGGAGTGTTATTTGGCAAGTGAACATTGAGATAAGCTTCCATCATTACTTTAATACAGTGATTTTAGAGAGTCAGTCTTGTGCCTATCATTAGTTTAAATGTGACCAACTGTGGTGTTGGTAAGGAAGGGAGAGTGTCTTATTAAACTTATTCAGTGGACAATCTGCCCTAAGAAAAAGAATATAACATTAATTCTTTCACAGATACGTTATACCTTAGAATCATAGAATTGTAAAATGTTAGGGGAAGGGACCTCTAGAGCTCATCTAGTCCAACTCCCCCACCAAAGCAGGATGCCCTAGGGCAGCCACACAGGAACACATCCAGATGGGTTTTGAAAGTCTCCAGGGAAGGAGACTCCACAACCTCTGCGGACAGCTCACTTTGATGGAAAGTCACTCAGCCAAGAAAAGCAGATCCACTGAAAATTAATATTCTTTTATACTTAGGCTTGAGCACAGTGGCTTTGGAGAGGTGGGGAGGGTGTCCACATAGTGTGCTGGAGCTGATGTTTTAAATCTTTAGGATGCATTTTGCTGTCAGATTCTGTACTAGTACATATTACAGTAATTGATGCTGAGGACTAAATATCCTTATTCTACAGTTCTTTAAGAGTGTTTTTGCATTTAAAAATATTTTAAAAAAACCCCTCAAGCTTCACAGCTTGTCAGCTTGCTTGTTTAGTGATTGTGTTTTCTTCTGGACTTACAGAGTAGATGAATCATCAAGCTATGACCTGACATATACAGATGTTCATTTCAAACCCGGTCAAATCCGAAGGCACTTCATTGATGTTCCGCAGGGAGCTACGTGGGCTGGTAAGGAAAATGGCCATATTAATTAAATAAAAAAGTCACATCTGTCAGACTTTGTAAAGTTCTCTTGAAATCATTTTGAGTTCTGACTGAATAAGTACTGAAGACTTCGACCCATGAATACATAAAATATTTGATTTTAAGCTCTTAGGGGAGTGATTTTGAGTTATCTCATTGTTTCTGGTATAACAGAATCCTGATTCCTAGTCATCTAGAAACCAGCAAATACAGTCTGAAATGAAGAATATCCAATGTTTATAGAAAAGTTTTGCTGTCTGAGATTTGCCTAGTTTCTGAGGTGTGTGGATGTAGTGTTGAAAGATGTCTTAACTGAAGAAAACATGATTTTTTAATAATTCTGCAAGGAGGAAAAAGTGGGGTTTTTTCTTCCTGCATGAGATTACTAAATAATTTTAAGAATCTTCAGATCGAAGTTAGTGATAAGACTCTTAATTTGGAATTCAGCAGTAGTCTGTCCTGTACAGATTGTACATCTGTACTATCTGATTAATTTACATCATTTAGTTGAGTCATGTTTCTTTTAACTGCTCTCTGAATTTAGCTAGTTTACCTTAATGTGAAAGGGTTTGTGCAGGTAACTGATGTATAAGCATTATTCACATGGAGCCACTTGGGGTAGCACATAATTTCTAACAAATTGCTTGTGAAACTTGTATTTTTCTGGTGAATATCTGCTTTAGTTCTGAAATTCTTGGCTTTTGAAACTAAACTTTATTTATTTATTTTTTTATCTAGAAGTGACAGTATGTTCATGTTCTGCTGATGTGACTGCCAAGTTTGTCCTTCATGCCGTTCAGCTAATGAAGCAAAAAGCATATAGAAGTCATGAGTTCTACAAATTTTCATCCTTACCAGAAAAAGGAACAGTGACTGAAGCATTTCCTGTTTTAGTAAGTTACCTTAGAGTGACATGGGGGAAGAGAAAGTAATATTTCAGTGCAGTATAACATAACTCATTCTGGATTTTCTTTTATTTCCGAAGAAGAACCCCAAACCCAAGAGATCATACATTTCTTTTGTTATGGTAGTGAATGCATGTGGTTTTCAGTTTTGAAAAGATCTCTAATAGCTTGCTAATGTTCCTAAATTATTTAGTAATACTGTTACAACGCATGTTAATCTCTTCAATTTGTTGGTTCTTGTTTATACAAACTGGTTTGTTTTCCTTTACATAGGGGCTGTGACTTGTGACTGTGTCAGGGCAGGTTTAGGTTGGATCTCAGGAAGCCCTTCCTCACGGAGAGGGTGCTCAGGCACTGGGATGCACTGCCCAGGGAAGTGGTGGAGTCACTGTCCCTGGAGGGGTTTAAGGAGAGGCTGGATGTGGCACTTAGTGCCCTGGTCTGGCCGATGTGGTGGTGTTGGGTCATAGGCTGGACTTGATGATCTCAGGGGTCTTTTCCAGCCTCAACAATTCTGTGATTCTGTGATAGAGTTCAGCGTATTTTGCCTTTAGTTCTTGATATGGTAATCTGTGATATCTCCCTGACGTTGAAACCAGATGATAACTGCCTGCTTTACATTCATACTGCTTAGATATAGCGGGCTCAGGCTGAGACATTCAAAACCTGTCCTGTGCAACCTGCTGTAGGTGAACCTGCTCTGGCAGGGAGGTTGGACTAGATGGTCTCCAGAGGTTCCTTCCAACCCCTAACATTCAGTCATTCTGTGAATGCTGGCTCAAGAGTTCAAAATGGAACCAGGGTGTGAGATAAGAGTTTGGGGCTGTGGACAGTATAGTCCATTTAAGTTTGTCCCCTACCTATTTAGTTGTGTAGCTCTAAAGCCTAAGAGTGGTTATGATTTCTGCGCTATTCAGCCCCACACACTCTGTGAAAATGTCAGGTGGGGGACCGTAAGCTAAGTTTGTCCCACTGACACATTGTGAACTTTGTCATGTTAGTTAAAAACAAACGACAGCAACTAAAAAAGAAACAACCAACCACAAAACCTTCGCACCTCCCAAGCTTTATGTCGTCTTATTTAGGCAGAGTGTGGGATCTCTTTTTTCTGATGCACATTTTCTAGGGCATACATGTTAAATTCATCTATGAACTAACGTTTCTGCCTCATTTGAAGCACACGAGGGAAAGATGTAACATTCAAAACCTGTACCTTTCTCTGTGGAATATACCCCTAGCATTCTTTGTTTTGTTGTGGTCATCAGTCCTCTTGTTTCATTGGAGCTGTCTTGTGCATTCTGCACCAAGTTTATACTGTACAAACCTATACAGTTGGAGGAAACTGGACATAATGTCTTTTTTTGAGTTATACTCCAATTGTTTTGGCTTGGGATGGAGGGAGACTGAGTGAATAGAATGGTAAGATGGGGAGCTTGAGTCTAACTTTGTGATTTTGTTACCCAGGCTGGAAAAACCGTTGAATTCTGTGTTGCTCGGTGGTGGGCAAGCCTTAGCGATGTTAGCATAAATTACACAATTTCTTTCCATGGTGTACTTTGTGGTACACCTCAGCTAAACATGGTAAGTTTTCCAGAATATTTTATTTTGAATTATTCTGAAGTCCTATGGTATCTCAGAATAGAAAGAACTTTTCATTCTTGTCTCTGTGTAGAAAGACTAAAGGTATCCTTTTATACATGAGATGTTGATGTTTTCTCTTAAAAAATAAGTAAAGAGGAGTCCAGTCTCTTTGCCCTTTTTTAAGCCAGAGCAAATTATAGCTATCCCACAGATGAATTTAGGTGTATTCAGGCTCTGAGAGCTGAATAAACTGGGGAAAAAAGGAGTGGGTGTATTATGCTAAGGTATCAGGTCCTGAACCAGTGAAACAGGAATAGGAACTGGTGATGGTGGTGTGTGCAGCAGCTCCTCCTGCCCCAGCAGGTTTACGTCAAATGGATAATGGAGAGTTAAAAATGAGATAATATAAACAGTTCTGCCCTTCCTTCTTGAACACCTGTAACTTCCATAAAATAGATGTTAATATTGCTGATATGCTAGTGGCTTTGTTGTAGGATACTGCTAGAAAAAAAGTTTTCACATTATTTTGCCCGTCACTAGCCTATGTATGTAGTATTGGGGTTTTTTACACAAAGATAAACTATTCTGTTATAATAATTCTGAGCAGAAGTACCATAAATACTTGTTTTAAGATTCTAGATTAACAATACTGTATTTATTGAATTATGTATTCAAAGGAAATCATGACAAATGCACAAACAATACCCAACCCTGCCTAAAGTATGACTTGTACAGTTCTGTAAAAAGTACCTGAATTATAGAGGAAAAAAATAGAAATAGGACTTCAGTTTCATTTGCTAAACTTTTGTGAGTCCCAGTATATCTGCTGTTGTAAAACAGAGATAAGCTTGTGACACTTTGAAACTCACTCAGTTTTACCTTTTATAGTATCAGTAAATACAGTTTGTATTGTATTTTTGAGGGACATATCAAATGTTCCACATTTGACATTATAAGTGCATAGAAGCATAATTGTTATATACTCTTTCTTCAGCATGCTTCAGAAGGCATCGTGCGATTTGATGTTCAGTCCTTGTTGAAGTATGAAGATATTGCTCCATGCATAAATCTGAAAAGCTGGGTTCAAACACTCAGGTAGAGTTTCTGGGGAACTGTATTGGGAAAGTGAGAGAACTGTCCGTATGTAGTTAGAACTGGAATAAGTTAACAGTGAAATTTAGGATAACAATATTCTTGTCAAGTTGTAAGTAGGTTTGGAAGTAGCAATAAATAAAAATTCTGAGTTTTTTTTTTTTTTGGTTCCTTTTAACTTGCATAAAGTTTGAAAGTTATGGTGACTTTGCCTTAAGGAAAATAATTTTTATGGAATTTAAAAAAAATTACAAAAATATTCAGCTGCTTCCAACGGAGACACTTAGAGGTAAAAGGCACTTTAAAGAAACAAATTGTAGTTATTTGGTGCTACTGTTAATTAGTTTGATTTGTAGGGCTTTTTTAAGCAGCTCCTTCAAATCCTGCCCAGTTTAGACCTGGTTTAAACAGTACTTTTAAGTTTTGGCCAGACAATTTCAGAGTGGTCAGTAATCCGAAGTTGTTCATTATTTAGGCATCTCAGAGGAGACCTTGGGCTATAATCTGGGGCTTCTGGTTACTTGTAACTTGAATCAAGATTGCTAGGAGTTTCTTATTTAGCAGACATGCCAGCTAATGTTAGATTCAGAAATACCCAATTTGATACACCTTAAGTGTGTGTGTGTGGGGGGAGATATATCAAACAGTTCCATAATGTAGCTTTGCCTCATTCATGGTTTGTAAATGGAGATGCTCATATGTCCTTGAAATACTTGAGGCCTTTGTCTGACAGTAAATGAACTGTTAACCAAACTAATGCAAAATACTCACGAGTTTTATACTAGTACATGCCTAGTGTCTCTTGAATGAAGTAATGAGTTGAAGTAATGAGTTGTAACACAGGAAAAAAGGTATTGAATGGCTTCTCGTTTGGTCTCTTGAGTTTCAAAGGGAGGATGAGCATTAGAGAAATGTATCATGTGTAGGATTACTCAGTTCTTAAGTCTTCTGTCAGCAGTCTATCTGGTGTCTGCCAGACTAGGAAACCGAGGTTAAATGGACCCATGGTCTGACCCAGCGCAGATATTTTACTGGCTGTCTGCTCTGTGCTCTTGGCAATGAAAGAGCTGGCAGAAGCTTACAGAAAAATTTGATCATGTAATTAAAGATTGTCAGAATAAATGAATGAAATGTAAACTGAAATGAGGCCAGGCCACCTTCATTCCACTATTCTTTATTTCCGAAGCTCTGTTTTTCCTGTAGTGTTTTTATTTAACTGTGCTCTCTGATGCTTGAGGTCTAAAGTGTTTGTGCTGCTCTGAACAATAGCTTATCCTAACTGTATCTGAGTTAACACACACTGCCTACGCAGTGTGTGTTAACATTCTTCTGTGTTACCACTCTGATTCCTGTGAGGCCTCTTGAAGGTTCTCTTACAACATAACCTTGTGTAACAAACAATTATCAACTGTTTATTCTGTCCCCTAATTACTGTGCCATTAGTCTTTCAATCTATGAATAAAAGTACTAAGTGCAGCATAGATACTAGGGATGTAACCCATTTTATTTTTTTTTCTTTTTCTAATCCTGCAGTCTGGTTTTCCATTTTTTTAATAATTTCTTCTTGGCCTTTAATTTCCAGCATTTAGATGTGCTTGCTAAGTTTTCTTCTTCCTTTGGCCGTGTCTGTAATGTCACTAAACCATGTTTTTGAACTGCTGCCTACATAGTACAATATTTTAAGAGATGTTATTGTATGTGCTGAATTTCATTGTACTTCAGGATATGCTTCTGTTTAAGCAAGACAAATTTTGGCAGAGGCAACATGTTGCTTACGAATACCTTCTTCTGTTGTTTGTTTTTTGTTTTTTTTTTTTGTCATTTAACTGCAGACCAGTGAGTGCAAAAATAAAACCTTTGGGCTCCAGAGATATTTTACCAAATAATCGTCAACTCTATGAGATGATTTTGACCTATAACTTCCATCAGGTAGGGATTGTGGATGGTTGTATTTTTAAAAATCAGTGATAAATACAGCATGTTTTCTAAAACCAGATGTTGATTTTAGCTTTCTGTTAGAAATGAGGTCCAGATTCCTATTCTGCCATTGAAAATCAGATAATCAGTTTGTTTAGGAGCTACTATTGCGCGAAATGGGCTTTGGTTCAGGTATACTTTTGAGTATGAGCATAAGGATTGTACTTGTTTTATTCAGTAGTGGATTAATTTTTTTCACATTTCTTTTAATAGCCCAAGAGTGGAGAAGTAACTCCAAGCTGTCCCCTTCTTTGTGAATTGTTGTACGAATCTGAATTTGATAGTCAACTGTGGATTATTTTTGATCAGAACAAAAGACAGATGGGTTCAGGAGATGCCTATCCACACCAGGTACAGAATAATGTATTTATTTTACCTTCTGTTTTCTGTACAATGTGAAGATTTGCATTCTTTTTCACCTTTCAGGCCTGCTGTTAGCTCCTAACATTTCTTGATGCATAGATATAATGTTACATCTTCACAAGAAGACAGACTCAGTGGTGATATATTTGTATCAAAAAGAAGTAGTGACAGTCTTGTTTCCAGGAAATAGAATGTTATGATTTTTGTTTGTTTCCAAGGAAAGAGAAAAGAGTTACAATGTGGTTTATTTCTACAGAAAAGCTGTTCACTTGTCATTTCTTGTGATTTTGACTGGGCTTTCTCAAGAAGTGAATTCAAGTTTTTATTGTCTTCAGGTTTTCTTACAAAGATGATACCTTGAACTTTTAAGGTGGAAAGGATCCATTGTTTTTTATGTAGTCTGACTTGTTCATTGATAAATCAGAGGCTTCTGTATCCATGAAGGCCATCTTCTGTGCTGTTGATGTCTTTCAGCAGCCTTTTAAATGCTAAAGCTTGGTTTACTTCCTGGTGATGTCTTTCAAAGGGAGGTTTTTTTGCCTAAGACTTGTAGATACTGTACCTTCTGTGGGAATCTCTTTCTGCTGGAATATACCATGTGTCTGGGTCATGCAGGCAGAATAAGACAGGAAAAAAAATAAAAACATTTTCCATAGTTTTTGAGTTTAAAACTCATTATTTACCAGTCTGAGATCACAGTTGAACTTCATCAACATATTTATTCAGATAGATTGATCATTCTGGAAGTGTACAAAAGCTCAACTTTAAAACATATCTTTTGAATCTTTAAAATAAATTTCTGAAATATATAAAATTCTGTTCCTTAACCTGCGTTTGTAAGGTTCTATGAAATCTAAAAATCACTGAGGTATTCTGTTACTTACCCCTGGTGGACTACCATACCATAAATCTGTGGTGCTGTGCATCGTGGAACAGTTCTAAAGCAATTCAAAATTATTTAATCCAGGAAAAAAAAATATCGAAAGGAAGTATGACTCCCTAACCCAGGAGATGGAGATTCTGGGAGCAGGGGAGTTTTGGATTATTATTCCTCTCTTCTTAGGGCTGCTTTTTGTATTATGGCAGCAGCAGAAAGGAAACCTAGCATACTGCTGCTCAAAACATCCACAGAGTGTCTTTTAGGTTGATAGAAATGAAAGACCATTATCAAAACTAAGAATTTGAGAGTATGGGGCTTTTTTGTTGTCTGATTTTTGGAGGAGTTTGTTGGGGCTTTTGGTTTTGTTGGTTTGGGTGTCTTTTTTTTTAGTAAATGGAGGTGATGTTCTCTGCATATTCCTACCTGGATGTATAAAAAGCTCAGGGCAAAGAGCTTGTCAGCTCTTTAAACTGCAGCCTTGAATCTCACAGGAATGTTGAGTCCTCAGTGTGAAAACTGGTACAGTGTTTGAGACAGTAGAAAATACCCTGTGATCTAAATAGCAGAGCTCCCAAAGTTACATAGTATCAAGGCAAACCTGCTAAAGGTTTTGGCCTGGCAGTTTAGCAGAATTCTGATTGTTATTTGAGCAGTTAGTACAGCATAGGAATAGGAATAAATGATGTCAGCCTATTTTTGTGATCTGAAAACTTAGTATTTTTTTCTTTCAATCCGAAGTGTGTTTTTGCTGCTATCAGGTCTTGAGAGCACTCTGGTTTTGGGACATTTCAAAACCAAGCAATCTAGCAAGTTTTAAATCGTTAGAGCTGTATGGATCAGGAGGCACGTGATGGTCTTATTTCTGTTTTTCTTTGTGAATGGTGAAGTAATCTTGACATTTATGAGACCTTCTTTCTTGCAGTATTCTGTGAAACTGGAAAAAGGAGATTACACTATTCGGTTACAAATTCGTCACGAGCAGAACAGCGAGCTGGATCGCATCAAAGACCTTCCATTTATTGTTTCTCACAGGTTGTCTAGTACTTTGAGCTTAGATATTTATGAAAACCATAGCCTTGCTCTCCTAGGGAAGAAGAAATCGAACAGTCTGACATTACCACCAAAACACAGTCAGCCATTCTTCGTTACATCTCTACCTGATGACAAGTAAGTTACTAACATCGTTTTTCTCATATACATCTAACCTGACTAAAATGATACTTTGTTATTGTCTACCTGTTCAGGCTTGGTTACTCCTTGTGTTGTTCTTTTGCTGTTTGGATTTTCATAGTAGTCTCCATGGAACATTAATAAACCCAAGTTTAACACTAGACTTTATTTCTCTGAATAGAATACCTAAAGGAGCAGGACCAGGATGCTATCTTGCAGGAGCGCTTACACTGTCTAAAACGGAACTTGGAAAGAAAGCTGTGAGTATTTGGAATGGATGGCAGCTTCTTTTTTTAAAACTTTTGAAGCAAGTAAATGGCATGCCAGGTAGTGCTGTATTTCGTGGATTTAGTACTTTAAAGAGCGCTAGGTTTAGTGACATAACATTTTAGAAGCAGTTGTTTTGTTATAAAGTCAGAGTAACTTCTAAGTAGTTCTGGTTTTATTTTCCTGTTGCAATTTCAAATTTATTTGCATTTTTCTAAATTTTGAATTCTAATTCTTTTGCTCTGGATCATTGTATTTCTGGAAGCAACTGCTTTTTGGTTCAGTGAAGCCTTTAGAAGTGATTTTCTGTAACTGCCTAACTTAGTGTGATTTTTTGAATGAAAAATAAGTGCATATATATATTGTTTTGTGCATGTTAGTTCTCTAGTAAACAGCTATACTCTTCCCTGCATGCATATAGTTTTCAGCAAAAATATATGCTTACCTAACACCTACCTGTTACTATTACAAAGTAGTAGGAATGTTGTTAACTCAAATACCTGCTGCACACGGACGCTGTCAACCACTAATATGACCATATGCTCCAATAGAATAGTGCGAGATCGCTGTATGTGATGCTAGAAAAAAGGTGAGGGCTGTTTTGGGTTGGCTTTTTTTTTTTTTCTTATAACGCAGCATCCTGTAAAAACTGGTTTCTAACTTGTACAAATCTGTAGTGCAACAGTGATTATAGTAACCAGATTACTCTTGCGTGTATCTGGTGCTAAGATATTTAGAAGATTCTCTTAGCTGTTTTGAAATATATGGCAAAGCTGAGAATAAGTTTGGCAATTGTTAGTGTTTAGGGGTAGTTCATCTATGTCCATATATCCTAGATGTGGCTGAACAACACGTATGAAACTAGAGTATGTTTTCATAGAAGATACATTTGTGTGAGTAGGTGGGCAGGTACCTTTAGATCTTGTTGAATAGAAAGCTTCAGTTCAATCTGATCTGGCTGTAGGGAGTACTTTCGGGGGAGATTGCATGTATCTGCAGGTTAGAAAATGTTTGTCATGAGAATTTATGCATTGGTGAGGAAAACCCCAGTAACTAAGAATTCTAAAGTACTTAAATTTCTTTGTGATCATGCAGGGTTGCATGTATACTTTTTATAAAATCCATGGTAAACCCATTACAGTAGTGTAGCATAGTTTCCCTAACTTGAATTCTGCACTGACTTGAACTATTGGTTGTAATTCTCATCTGTTTCATTTGAAAACCAGACTAAATGGTTATATACAGTGATTTTTGGGATGGGAAGTAGAAGATAGGTGCGCATTGCCTGTCAAACTTTGTGTGATGAAGAATGCTTAAGAGCTTACACAGAGAGGAATAATAGCTGGAGTGTGTCTCATGTCATAGTCTAAGGCGTTACTGTTATGGTGATAGTGATAGTTCACTGGGAAAAGGACAGTGTTAAATAGTGTCAGATGCATTCTACTGCCTGCAGAGAACCTCACCATGTACCAAGAGACAGAAAAGGAGGACTGGTCAGCAAGTGGATGCAATATGAGAGAAAGCGTACCTAATTTATGTATGTTTATTATGAAATAGAACAATGCCACTAAACAGTCAAAGTCTATGCTTTTGAAGTTGAATTTCTGTAATGTATTAATTTAAGCTAAGTGGTTAACAACACTTGCTTGTCTTACAGGAATAATGTTTTATTACTTTTTAAAACCTGAAAGAGCATGCTTTAAGAGCATGTTTGATCATAGATGTGACTCTCTAAAAGATTTTAAAATCTGTAGGTTGAAAGTATAACTGTAATTGTACAGAGAAGGTGTCTCCATCCTGTGTGGTGTGTGCATGTTTTCTTACAGTATGTTATTCTAACTCCCAGGGGCAGTCTGCAGCAAAGCGACAAGGAAAATTTAAAAAGGTACTGAATGTTAGTTTTTGAAAAAGATATGCTTAAGTCTTTTTGCATATGACTTAAAGAAATTGTCTACCAGTATTGATTTTTGTCTCCCTCATCTACATCCTTAGTCCTGGGTTATTGACTTCAGCACCTTAAGTATGTCTACTGGTAGAATGACAAAACCCTGCTGTAAGACAGAGCTGAGAGGCACGTGAGCACCTGGATACTTCTGCAATAAGTGCTGTAAAACTGTGTGTGGTGTTTAGTGGTCTATAATTTACCTTTTTATGAAATACTCAGGAATCTTCAGTGTTTGTGGTGAAGATTTCCTGTGGCTAGTGTTTCTGCCTATTCTATTCTGTCTGCAAATTGAAAACTGAGTATGAACCTAACACTCTGATGTAGAATATCTAACTGCATATGAAGTCTAGTGAATTGAAAGCTGGCTTCATTATGGTCATAAAAACAGGCTGTAGCAAGCAGTTTGTTCTTAGGAGGGATGGACTTGATTGAAAAGTCTTTCAGTTCACAAATACTTGAGTGTAACTCCTTGTAGGCTAGAGTTTATACAATGATGTAGCAGGTAGCAGAATTTACAGAAAGAATTTTGGAACGAAATTATTTCAGATAGGGAGTGACTTAACATAGCAGTGTTTAATGTTGTGCTTCCTCATGTTTTTGCATTAGATAATATAATATTCTTCCAGCAGTCAGAAACTGAAACAGTCTTTATATAAAAAAAAAAAAAACACCTCACCTATTTTAATAGGCTGCCTTTGTAAGGCTAGTATGGTGGCTTTTTTCTTGTTATTAAGTTGTAAAGATATTTGCATTTTTTTGTTTTCAAAGTACTATGTTCTGAAATGACATGTAAATTAGTCAGGATTCTTGTTAGAAATAAGGCATGAGAATCATTAGTAACAGTTTATTGCTGTAATCTATTTTGTTAACAATGAGCTGATAACCAAGCCTGATAACTTACTCTGGATTTGAGGTAATAACTGTGTGGGAATGTGATCAGACTTTACAAGAAGGACTTTACTGTGCATTGCTGCAATTTTATTTTCATACTGCATCTGAAAATTATGCAGATTGCTTTTAGAAAGACAATTTAAAATCCCATGTGAATGCACAGCTTCCTGATGAGTAGAATGTAAAATCTTTGCTAAGTAAATCTCATCCAGGTAGTGTCAGGTGACCAGTGGTGTCCCTCAAGGATCAGTACTAGGCCTGGCCCTATTCAGCGTTTTTATTGACGACCTTGATGAGGGGATTGAGTCTACCCTTAGTAAATTTGCAGATGATGCCAAGTTGTGGGGGAGTGTTTATCTGCTGTAGGGTAGGAAGACGCTGCAGAGGGACCTGGACAGGGTGGGTCGATGGGCTGAGGCCAGCGGGATGTAGTTCAACCAGACCAAGTGCAGGGTCCTACACTTTGGCCACAATAACCCCCTGCAGCGTTACCGACTGGGGCAGGAGTGGCTGGAGAGCGGCTCGGCAGAGAGGGACCTGGGAGAACTGGGTGACAACCGGTTGAACATGAGCCAGCAGTGTGACCAGGTGGCTCAGAAGGCCAATGGCATCTGGCCTGTATGAGGAACAGTGTGGCCAGCAGGAGCAGGGATGTGATTCTGCCCCTGTGCTCAGCCCTGGTGAGGCCTCACCTCGAGCCCTGTGTGCAGGTCTGGGCCCCTCACTGCAAGAAAGACACTGAGGGGCTGGAGTGGGTCCAGAGGAGAGCAACGAGGCTGGGGAGGGGACTGGAGGGAAAGTCCTGTGAGGAGAGGCTGAGGGAGCTGGGGCTGTTCAGCCTGGAGAAGAGGAGACTCGGGGGGACCTGATCACTCTCTACAACTGCCAGAAGGGAGAGTGCAGTCAGGTGGGGGTCGGGCTCTTCTCACAGGCAACCAGTGACAGGACAGAGGGCACGGCCTGAAACTGTGTCAGGGGAGGTTTAAGCTGGATCTCAGGAAGCCCTTCCTCACGGAGAGGGTGCTCAGGCACTGGGATGCACTGCCCAGGGAAGTGGTGGAGTCACCGTCCCTGGAGGGGTTTAAGGAGAGGCTGGATGGGGGACTTAGTGCCCTGGCCTGGCCAATGTGGTGGTGTTGGGTCATCAGCTGGACTTGATGATCTCAGAGGTCTTTTCCAGCCTCAACAACTCTGGGATTCTGTGAGTTTAACTCTAATTGTAATTTGCATAACAAAACCTATTAAACAGATCCAAGAGATTGCATGTTCTGTTTTTTTTCTTTTGGTTTTAGAACTGAGATTTGTGTTCAGATATGAGGAGTATACTCAGCCAAGCCAAAATAAAAATTGTTCTGAATACTTTCACCTATTATTCATAAGCGTCATCAGGGTAGTAGCAGCAAATAAATAAAACAGTGTATTTCTGAGCATTGATCCATAAAAGCTCCATTAATGCATAGATTTTTCTGAAAACACGGCTCTGAAGACTTCCTAGTTTACGAGTTTTGAATATTTACTCTGCTTTCTCATAGTTTACATGCAATTAGAATGTTTTCCAGTATGGAAAACATGTTTATGTATTTCTTTTGTGACCTGGTCAGTCAAGAAGGTCTGTGTAGCTTTTTTATATATTTCACAGGTGAGTCCCTCTTGTAGGATTAGGAGTGTTAATTTACAAGTTCCATTTTTATTTTTTGTGTGTTTTTTGTTCTGATACTGGTGACTAGTCTGTGGTAAGCTTCTTTAATTATTTTTCTAAATTTTATTTTAGTTGAGGGAAGGTGAGGAAAACTTGTTAGCTTCTGTTTATGTGCGTGATACTACTAGAAAACCAGGATGGGCATTTCTTCTTGTCTGAAAATACTTTTATTTTCACAGAATAGCTGAGTCTGGAAGGGACCTTTGGAGGTCATCTTGTTGGTCTAACCCCTCTGCTCAGTGAAAGTCTCCTAGACTTAATTTCCCAGGACCATGCCCAGACAGCTTTTGAACATCTCCAAGTGTGGAGACTACACAACCTCTCAGAGCAACCTGTGCCCAGTGTTCAGTCATCCCTACTGTGAAAAAGTATTTCCTGATGTCTAGAGGGAAGGCGTTGCTAGCTTACATTTAAGCTAGTGTGCACCAGGACCCCCAAGTGTTTTTCTGCCAAGCTGCTATCCAGCTGGGTGGCCTCCAGCATGTCCTGGTGTCTGGGTTTTCTGTTCTTCAGATGCAGGACTTTGCAGTTCACCTTGTTGAACTTCATGATGCTCCTGACAACCCATTTCTGCAGCCTGCTGAAGTCCCTCTGGATGGCACCACACAACTTTCTGCTTTATCAGCCACTCATCTCAGTTTGGTGTCATCTGCAAACTTGCTCGAGCTATGCTCTTCCCCGTCATCCAGGCCATTAATGAAGATGCTGAACAGGGTTCAGTCCAGTATTGACCACCGGGGCACACCACTAGTTACTGGTGTCCCAGCTGTGTGCTGCTGATTGCCACCCTCTGGGCCTGCCCATTCAGCAGGTTTCAAGCTACCTGCCTCCTCATCCAGCCCATACTTCAACAGCTCCTCTATTTTTCATGAAAGTTGTCTGAGGTTATGCCAGGAAGTAGCAGCCTAGTTTTCCAAAGATAATCAATGCTTGTATAGGAGGACAAAAATATGAATGTGTTCTTTCCACAGAATAACCAGTTGTCTTTGTTTTACTAGACTCATGCAGCAGAATCATGTGCCCAATCCATCATTTTCTTCTCAAAACACTCTTCTAGGAAACTTAATTTTATCTAAACAAAACTCCAAACCTGAAACAAACACCAAAACAACTCTTGGGCATGGGTTTTTATTTAATGTCTTCCTGACTTCACTGTGTCTGGACTTGGGAAATAAAGAAAAAAATCCTTTCTGTCTGACTGCTGAAAAAAAAACTGAAATATGGATGAAGTTTATAATTCAGTGAACTCATCCCCACTGAAGCACAGAATGCCTTACTGTCGTGGCTTGGAGAGCTGATGTACCCTTAGAAGTAGCCTTGGTCTCTGATGGGGAGACGTGTGCTAAACAACCACGTGAAGACCAAATTGGTACCTTTTTTTCTCTCGCACCCTAACTTTTGTAAGCAGTTACAGTCTCATTTTTTTATTTCCCTCATCTCCAAGTTTTGTCCTGATCATAGTTAGAATGAAAACAGATCACTGACTCTTTCTGGTCTGCAAGAAGGATTTTTTTGTTTCACAGAATGCAGCTTTCGAACAGCAATATACACCAGCTAGCTAAGGGGATAGAAAATTTCTACATCTTTCACCCTACTCTGCCATCTTTTCCTCCAATTCAAAGTAAGAAATGCATTATTTGGGTATCAGTAAGTACTAGTGGAAGACTAGTAAATGCCATTGTGAAGTCAAATGTAAAAGGATTATGTCCTTTGAGCATTAAAACACTACCCCTGTTTAATCAGGAGGCCTTCAAAAATAGGATGAAGTACATGTCTGGTTTAATTTTGTGTAAACCTTACTACATATCTGGTTTAATTTTGTATAAACCTTACTACTGACTTCAAGAAACTTTGTTCATTTACAATTAAATAAGAGGATTGCCATAAAAGTAAGCAACTTTGCACAAATTGTGTGGACCTTAAAGTAGATAAAACTTCCATATGCACATTCAGTTGTGTGTGTATGCCAGTGTCCATGGTATTTATTAAATGGAAAATGAGATGTGTTCCTTCAAGGAGCTTTTTCCTGTGGTTAGTTTTGTTATGAATGCTTTGATGTACAAATAACAATAGTTCATATGTCTTTTCCACATAAAATACCAGATGTTGAATCACTGGACAGAAATCTAAATTTAAATCTTTAAACAAAATTAATTAAGCTTTTTTAAGAAGTGACTGAGGGCATTGTGCTTGTTTGTGTACAGAGTTTGTAGTTCTAGTTGAAAGTAAACTCACTGAGGCTTATCAAGCTGTGTACAGAGTATGCTGACCAAAGTGCATACCCCCTGTGCTTCCAAAGTTTTTAATACTGCTTAATTTTTTTAGAAGATAAACAAAGGGCAGCTTTCTGATTAATTTGAGAGTTCTGCTAGTCATTTTCTCACTGGTAATATGCTGTCTTTCTTTGTCTATGGCTCTATATCTTTTTATAGATGCTTATATAAAATCAAATCCAGTACACTAGTAATTCTGTTGCAGTGTAACAGTGAAATTCAAGTAAGGAAACAGACTGAAGCACTGAATTGTGAAGAATTGCCTTTTTTCTCCTTAATCGCTAATGATGAATGTTTCTGTAATTGGAATGACAGCATCATTCAGGGATCATCTGGTATCTAGGGAGTTTCCAAGTTTTATAAATGATGCTAGTGTTTGCAGATAGAATAGAGAAAAGAAAGAAGCCTTCAGTCTATCTTTTGGTCTTCTGATAGTTTAGTTCAATGTGATAAGCACCTAAACCTTATTTATTCCATGAAATAAGTCTGATGTCTGGAGAGAAGAGTACGCCTCTTTTTCTGTAAGCTCTTTAGAAGAAGGAGGCTGCCTGGGTCCAAAGCTCATTGTTTTCCTTTCAATGGTCGTGAATTGTAACGCTTGCAGAATTTCATGAGACTAAAAGTACCTAACTGAGAGAATGGGGAGATGACATTCTACTGCTGGTGGTTTAGCTACATAGAATTAGCCCCTTAAATGAAAGTGTTCATCCACATAAGTGGAATTTTGTTAAGCTTTAGACCAAGTGTAATTTGATTAAACCATAGTAGTAGAGCCTTCTCATATAGGCAGGATTTGAGAATGTAGAGGCCATTTAGGTAACATAACTCCAAACATGTTCAAATAAGATCAAAGAGGACTTTCAGGAAGGAAATGTGAAATGGTAGAAGGATATTTCTAGGAAAGCAGGTTTCTTTCTTAGGGGAATATAGTCTCAGTAGAGGACATCTTGTTCAACTACTGTTCCAGATTTTAGTACTGAACTAACTTCCTAGGCATCTTAAAATGTTTGGTTTGCTTTAATGAACTATGTTGTTGCTTTCTACCATTCTAATGACCTTAGCCAGCTCATGTTCCTCACTTCTGGATCTTCCACTACATGCACTTGCCCCTATGACCTGTTTTGTCATATCCTGGCGTAGAACTTGCTGAAGTCTTACTTCAGTGTACTGCCTGGTCATGCACTTCATACTTGAAATGCATGTGTGCTGGAAAGTTCCCATGAAATCTATTTTTTAATGCAGATTAGTGATCTAAACTAGTTTTTTTAAAAAGCAAAGTGTAGATATCCATTTTGTGGTTCATCTGTAATTATGTATTAAGTAGCTGGAAAAATATGTTTTAAGGGAATATTGATGTCGCTTTCTCTTACCAGTATTGTTTTCAGTAACCCATAGGAGATTGCTTGTCTGTTTGAACTATCAGTTCAAATAAAATTGTTCTGCATCAATGTTCTTGAGTAGTTTCAGAAGTGTAGTGTTGAAATCTGTTGTTTCTAGGTTATGTGTAGCAGTTTCCAATAGTTACTTTTACTTGCAGTTTAAATAACCTGAAATAACTCCATCTTGTGCACAAGATTTTATTACATTTTGCAACACTGACCAGGTTTATGGGAAACATATTCCCACAAATGTATTTTGGAATAATTGCTTTGAATAATTAAATGGCCACATGAATTGAGCATGCAACACAGTATTTTGCACAATGTTGCAATAGAGTAATTGCATGTAGAGGATTTAAACTTCAGTGATCTCGGTGAAATATCCTGTATGTAAAATACAGGACATGTGCCCTCACTGTTTGGAGAGAAGCTTTTTTTAAAAATCGCAACGTTAAAACCAAAACCAACAAAACAGCCTCTTGCAGCAATTGTAATGTTTTAGAAGCAATGACTAAAATCTTATGCTGGTTTATTTGCAAATGTTTATGTAAGTCCTCTTGGGAATGGAACTCAGAGCATGGTGTAAGATCAGTTAGGACTTTCCCTTTAAATAGCTGTAGCTGATTTTTCTTACGGTAACTGTTGACTAGTGTAGCATGAACTCAAACCATACTGATATTTTTACGGTAGCACGTAGCATTTAAAAAAATATTGCTGTTGTGTATACTCAGTTTGAGCACAGATATAGGTGAAACTGGAAAGTCTGGAGCAGCAAACTGGGAAAAAAGTTGACTGTGGCTGCATCAGCTAATTCAGTAAGCATATGGAAGAAATACTGTGTATCCTATGGCATGATTCATGTTTATGCTACTGTGGTATTATTTTTCAGAATTCAGTCATATTTATTCATTTGTTTATCAGATTTGTAGGATAGGATCTCTAATTAATTTTTTTTCTTTGCCTTGTGACCAAGTTACTTGCTTTTTATAAACAAAACCCCCACCCTTTTGATTCCTTAACTAATGATATGTAAAATTGTATGTATACAAAAATGCCAAAATTTCTAAAGTTTAGGCTTTCTTGTCTTAAACCCAGTGTGCTATTTTAATATTTGCATCTTTGCATTGCTTAAAATAAAAATTAAAGCAGTTCCTGAATTCTTATTGTCTAATACTTTTGATCTCGGGATCCTTAGTTGATATATGCATAGCTCATAGTAATTGCTTGATTTGGTTTAGTTTTTATATACCATCAGACAAGTATTCTGTATCCCTCTCAGTATGTGTCTCTTTTCCCACCTCCAGGATGTTCTTACAGTTCACTATCATCTGATTCCATCACCATCAAAGAGTAAAAATGGCAGCAAAGACAAAGAAAGAGAACAGGAAAAAGAAAAAGATGTAAAAGAGGAATTTGCTGAAGCTTTAAGAGACCTGAAAATACAGTGGATGACCAAGTATGTTTGCTGTCATGACTACACAAGCTTGAATCAGCTACACAAAAAGTATCTCCAATCTGTACTTTCATGCTATGTCCTCTCTTCTAGGCTGGAAACCACTGACATATATAATGAGTTGAAAGAAGCTTTTCCTAATCATCTTCCTTTGTACGTTGCAAGACTTCATCAGCTGGATTCTGAGAAGGTTATTTAACACTTTTTAAACCTAATTTGTTTCAATACATCCATGTAGCGTGAACTGAATATTTCTTCATACATGTTTTCACTTGAAATGACTGTCATAGCTGTACTTAATACTATCATTAAATGATAGAATGGTTTAGCTTGGAAGGGACCTTAAAGATCATCCGGTTCCAACCCCCTTGCCTTGGGCAGGGACACCTCCCACCAGACCAGGTTGCTCACAGCCCCATCCAGCCTGGCCTGGAACACTTCCAGGGAAGGGGGCATCCACAGCTTCTCTGCGCAACCTGTACCAGTGTCTCGTTACCATCACAGGAAAGAATTTCTTTCTAATAGGTAGTCTAAATCTCCTCTCTTTCAGTTTGAAACTGTTACCTCTTGTCCTATCACTATCTTTCCTGTAGGCCCCCTTGAAGTGTTAAAAGACTGCTATAAGGTGTCCATGTAGCCTTCTCTTCTCCAAGCTGAGTAACTCCAACTCTCTCAGCCTGTTCTCATATGGGAGGTGCTCTGATCCATATGATCATCTTAAGGCCCCCCTCTGGACTCACTCCAGCAGGTCCTTTTCATGTTGAGGGCCCCAGAGCTGAACACAGCACTGCAGGTGGAGTCTCAGGAGAGCAGAGTAGAGGGGCAGAATTGCCTCCATTGACCAACTGGCCATGCTTCTTGTGATGCAGCCCAGGATGTGATTTGCCTTTTGGGCTGCAAGCACACGCTGCTATCTTGTATTCAGTTTTTCGTCCAGCAATACCTCTAGGTCCTGCTCTGCAGGGCTGCTCTCAATCCACTCATCACTCAGCCTGTGTTTTTGGTTGGCTGCACTTGACCCACGTGTAGGACCTTGCACTTGGCCTTGTTGAGCTTCATGTAGGTTGCACGGTCCCACTTCTCAAGCTTGTCCAGGTCCCTCTGGATGCCATCCCTTCCCTCCAGCACGTTGACTGCTCAATCCCACCGTGCACATTACCAACGGAGATGTTAAGTGGCACTGGTCCCAGTATTGATCCCTGGGGAACGCCACTCATCACTGGTCTCCACTTGGACATCGAGCCGTTTACTGCAACTCTCTGAGTGCGACCATCCTTATCCATCGCGCAATTCCTTATGCACCGAGTGGTTCATTTGTCAAATCTGTGTGTCTTCAATTCAGAGGCAAAGATGTCATGTGGGACAGTGTCAAATGCTTTGCACTTTAAAGTAGAAATTCCTAGTTAGATTGGCAGTTGACCTCCCTGACTGTGATTCACGTAATCCCAGGGCAGGATGAAAGAAAGTAAGCCAACCTATACCATGTTTGCTTATCATTTAAGCCTTGTTAAGTCAAACTCGTTGTAAGTTTGTTTACTGGTTTAGGCTACAAAAAAAGGCATTTGCTGCGGTGACCAGCTTCAGAGCAGGTAAGACTGCACTGGGGAAGGGATCTTAAGCTAAAAAAGGCTGACAAAAAGCTCTTTTGAGGGCTTTTTTTTA